GTGATTTTCTTCGACTTTTCTTTTGTGCACCAGGTGCGTTTCCTGTGGGCTGTTCGACATTTGTTGTAGTTGGGATGCCTTGGAATAGGCTTCCTCGAGAGTCTTTGGTTTGCGTAGGGTTAGGGCCTTCTGAATTTCGAGGTTGAGGCCTGTTATAAATTTCTCGATCTTGGTTGACTCTGTTGGTACTAGCTCGGGTGTGACGTGAGCTAGTTTGAGGAACTGTTGGTAATATTCTGTGATTGGGATTGTTCCTTGTTTTAGGTGGAGGAACTCTTCGTATATGGATGCCCTTATGTGACAGGGGTAGAATCGTTCCCGTAATCGTGCTTTTAGGGCCTCCCAGTTGAACCCTGGTCCTTGCTTATAACTAGGTCCCTCGTGGACCCACCAGAGGTCAGCTTCGTGTTTGAAATATAAGGAGGCTGTTTCTACTTGGTGATCCTCTGGGCACTCTACTGTTGAGGGTTTGGGGTCTGCTTACGATTAGGGCCTTTCGGGCTTCGAAATTGAGGCCTGACACAAACTTCACTATCTTGGTTGTCTCTGTGGGGACTAATTCGGGCGCGAAACGAGCTAGCTCGAGGAACCGTTTGTGGTATTCCATGACAGTGGTCATCCCTTGTTTTAAGTGGGGGAATTCTTCGTACATGGTTGCCCTTACGTGTGCGGGATAGAACCGTTCTCGCAGCCGTGTCTTTAGGCTTTCCCAGTTGAATCCTGGTTCTTGTTTAAGTGGGTCCTTCGTGGATCCACCACAGGTCTCCCTCGAGTCCAAAGTAGAACGAGGCTATCTCTACGCGGCGCTCCTCTGGGCATTCCACTAACCCAAGGATTTTGTCAAAGGTTCGAATCTATTCTTCGAGGATTGTGGGGTCTTCTTCCTCCTGAGAAGATGGGTGGCAGATGATTTGAGACTTATCGAGTGACATCCGAGTTTTCGTTTGGCGTTGGTGGTCGGTTGTTGTTACGGAGGATTACGACGTTTAGTGCATGGGCGACCTGAGTCAGTTGTTGTAGATTCTGAGCCAAAGGATCGTGAGTGGTGGGTTCGGGGGTCCTCGATTGCCTTCTGTTTGGTGTCATGCCGATGGTCTACAGGGCTAATGTTTATTGTAATGATGAGTTAGTGTATTGCACCCTTACCTTGATGCGGTAAGCGTAGGGAGAGTTCTTTAAATTAAGTGTAGAATACAGTGAGGGGAAAGTTATGTAATGATAGGTGGGATCACAATCTCACCGCGCGTCCTAAGATTCATGAATCCTATGTTCTTAAATACCTAGAGTTCAAGCTTAATGTCCTACAGTCTTGTCTTAAGAGTCTTATCCTAGAGTCAAACTTAGGCTCTGATACCAACTGTAACACCCCTACAATTTTAAACTTTCAAAGCTTATGAAATGAAGGTAATACTATCATTAAATCCCAAAGACAGAGCATACTAAACATAAGTGTTTGGGGTGCTATGCCACATCTGAGCTGGAGAACTCAAATGCACAGGCCAAACTATCTAATTATCCTCAAAACAATGTCATTACATCATAATGGCACGCAGGCCGAAAAGGAAGCTAACTATCTAAGCCTTGGATCCTCTAGCGCGCTCTAGAACTATTCATCTGTGCCTGAAAGCCAAATATATCTGTTCAGCGAATAATGCTGGTAACCCACTCCAACGCGTTAAAATATAATATAGGTATATAGGTATATATAGATATAGGAAAACCATTTTGAAGCCGGAAGATATATATTTAGGAGACTCTAGCTTTAAAACCGAGAATAGACTCAACAGGTAAGGACAAACACATTTATCAGTTATAATCACGCATATGAAGATATTAGCATATTTCCTAAGGTCACAAGATTTATTTCACATCATTCACATCATTATTCAATCATTATCTCAACACACAAGCACACTTTGGTAGCGCCACAGGACCAATCGCATGCCCATACATTAGGGTCAGCGCATATAGTGCTAACACGGCCCCGCGGCACCCTACCTCGTACCACGGTACGAAGGGGTTGATCGCAACCAACCGATGAACTGCAACTCTTCATAACGTTTGATCGCAACCAAACGGTGGACCGCAACCCAAAAGTGTTATTTCGGATCGCAACCAGATTATGACCGCAGCTCATGTATAATGTTTGATCGCAACTAAACGGTGGACCGCAGCCCTATATAATATTTATATACCTGACCGATCGCAACCGGCCTGGTTAACAGCTGATGGTTCTCAACCCATCCAACTGTCCGTATAACCAATTTGATCGCAACCAAATTGGGGTATCATGCACACATAACACATAGCAAGCAAATGCAACTCACATTAGCACATTGGGAAGGGGGAAAAACGTATAAATAAAACTTATGCGTGGTCATCCACATACTAGGAATATTCCTAAGGGGTTCATACATCTTTCACCTAGGCCAACGGGATACCAACTCAACTAGCATGCAATACACAAGACTTTTTTATCTTACGAATGGTACCCGAAACATCAAACTAGACTCAAGCACGATAAACGGGGTCCGTTGGGACACCATGGGGGACGGGGAAACATCAAACGGGGAAAACCACCATCCCACACTAGGGAAACCAGCGGGTAGCCGATGGGTGGAGGACCACTCGCCGGCTGGCCCGCCGGCGGCATACTTCTGGGCAGCGGGTGCCCGGCGGGCAGTCGCCTGCCCGCTGCCGGCGAAACCAATAGGGGCAGCGGGTAGGTAGCGGTTTCCCCTACCCCCCACTGACTCTTTTGTAATATCTTGGTCCCGGAATCTTTCGTGAAACCCGAAACCATGTCTAGACACTTTTAAACACAAACGACGACGCCAAGTAGTCAAGTAATGAGTCAAAACCAAGAATCACATTAAACACATCCTAACATAACTTCTAAACATAATCAACACCCGAACATGCGAAATCACACCCAAACATACCAAGAAAATCACAACCCGAAATTCACGATTTAACCTAGGGCTCTAATCATATTCAAATCACGAAATCATAATTTTATCTTTAAAATCAAGAACATCAAGATTTATCAAGAACAACACACAATTATCAAGATCCTCTTATAATCATCAAGATTATCAAGATCGACACATAAGATCATCTCATCAACATCAAGATCATATCAATATCATCATAAAGGATTTATCAAGACACAAGCGTAGAATTGTATATCAAAAGGAGTCAAAAAAGAAGATTATAGCAAGGAAAATAGGTTTTGTTGAGACATGGGTTACCTCTTAGCCTTAATTAGAATCCTTGGCTACTGAGGTTCTTTCTCTAAGATCTCCTCTTCTTGATTTCTCCTACGTTTGGTGATAGGGGAATTCTTGTGTGGTGGAATCTATTGTGGTGTGAATTCTAGGTGCCTCCTATGTCCTTATATATATCTAAGAGTCCTAATTAGGGTCTGAATGGTAGGGATTTACTAATTCTTTTCCTTATAGGACTGAGGGTTTGATTTAGGGATGAGGGTACATGGTCTATGGTGGACCCTTCTTAATTAATTAAGGGGATTTAATTCTCTTTTAAGGGCGAGTAATTAACTAATTAATTTGGGCTAGAGGCCATAACACGGGGTGTTACACCCTCCCCCTTACAATATAAAAACAATATAATAATCACATCATTTAAATTTTATGATAATGTTCTTTTTAGTCTTTTTTACATTTATCAGTTTATTAAAAAACTAATTTTACCAGACAATTTTAAGCATATATGTGTGTGCGCGCGCGCGCCAATTATCAAATGAGTCCACCCCTTCCCATGAGTTCGTGTGGACAAGTCATATCTATTAATCTTTGTATACTGAATGGCTAGATTATGTGTTTTTTATTTAAATTCCTTTTTTGTTATTAATCAGGGGTTGTTTGGTAATTTGGGTGTGCATTTAAACTTTAGTTTATATTATTTTAAGATAGTGTGCATGATATTATGGATATATTTTGAGGGTAATGTAGGATTTATCCATTGATCTTTGATTTATGGATGACTAGGATTTTTTGTTTTGTTTGGTTTTTTAATTGCTAGGATTTTTGTTTTTTAATAGCATAGTACAAGAAGCACCTGGTTCATCCATGTGCAACAATGTGCACTTCTGTGAGCAACTATGTATATTACTGTGTGCAACAGTGTGCACTTCTGTATGTACACTACTTTGTGCAACAGTGTATACTCATACATGCAACAGTACACAATGATATGTGCAATGTTGTACAATTGCTTGTGCAACTGTTAACGCTACTGTGTTCAACAAGGTACACTTGTGTGTGCAATAACGCACAATTCTGTGTGCAACAGTGTACAATTATGTGAATGAGCATATTCAGGACGGCAACGAGTCCATAAACAGACGCACCCACAAGATTAGATGCATCACAAACCAATCACCACCACCACCACCACCACCATCATAAAATTTTTAAAAATCTTTTATTTTCAACCATTGATCTTCATATTTGAATGGATTGAATTTATCCACACGAATTCATGGGAAGTGATGGACTCATATGATCATTAGTATATATATATATATATATATATATATATATATATATATATATATATATATATATATATATATATAAAGGCATGCATGACCAAATGAGAACATGATCATCCTCATGTAAAAAGTAAGGACTAATATAAGCCGCCCATCAGGTAGCATATTATGTGTACGTAGCTAATAAATTATTTACATGCATTTAACATATTATGTGTCTTCAATTTATTTTTGAGTAAAAGACATTTTTGGTCCTAGATTTATAGTGGCACGGACAATTTTGGTCCTTAATAAAAAAAATCAGACAATTTGTGGACACTCTTATTATGACGGGGACAATTTTGGTCCTCCGTCACTCTTCCCTTTTTAGATGCGCCGTTTGAGAGGGGGTATTTGTGTCTTTTCATGCACCATCATCTTCATCTTCGTCCCCTTGGCCAGAAAAGTCGCCGGACTCGAGCGTGACATCTCCTTTCTTAGCTGCATGGGCATCGGCTTCTTCATCTTCATCCTCGCAACTCTTGTGGCTGGCTTCGTGGAAATAAAGCGGAAGAACGCCGCCGCCGCCGCCCACGGAATAAGCGACAAGGCAGACACAATGATTCCCATTCCAATTTTCTGGCTGGTGCCGCCGTACTGCCTACACGGGATGGTAGAGGCCTTCATGTCAATCGGCCACCTGGAGTTCTTCTACGATCAGGCGCCGGAGAGCATGAGGAGAACGACGTCGGCGCTATTCTGGACCGCCATCTCCACCGGGAATTACATGAGCACTCTCTTGGTATCTTTGGTCCACAAGTTCAGCGCGGGCCCTGGTGGATCAAACTGGCTTCCGGATAACAATTCGAACAAGGGCAAGTTGGAGGACTTTTACTGGGTCATCACATTGCTGGAAGTCTTCAACTTTGTTTACTATCTTTTCTGTGCAAAATTCTATACTTTTAAACCAATTCAGATCTAGAAGATGGAAGGTGGTGGTGAACCCAGAAAGGATGGGACGATTCAACTTGCAAACAAAGCCTTTTGTTCAAGAAACTGTGGACTTTGATATGTAACTTCTGGGTAATCAGGCAAGAATCCAGTGAAGGCTTATTATCGAGAAGCTGATAAGCTTACGAGCTCACAATCACCTCTCTCGATTCTAACAGCCAAGAAGATGAAAGGTCCATAAAGGAGGAAGCTTTAACTAGAAGTTAAAACAGTCACATGCGAGGATGGAGATGAAGAAGCGGATGCCCATGCTGCTGAGAAAGGAGATGTCACGCTGAGTCCGGTGACTTTTCAGGCCAAAGGGACGAAGATGAAGATGATGGTGCATGAAAAAACGCAAATACCCCCTCTCAAACGGCGTATCTAACCGGAAGAGTGACGGAGGACCAAAATTGTCCTCGTCATAATAAGAGTGTCCACAAATTGTCTGATTTTTTTATTAAGGACCAAAATTGTCTGTGCCATTATAAATCTAGGACCAAAAATATCTTTTACTCTTTATTTTTAGGTATAAAGGGTGAAAATTACAAGTATGAATGGTAAGGTGAAAATGTCAATTATAATAAATAAAAAAAAAAAAAACAAAACATCTATTTTATTTATAAAACTATAATTTGTAATAATCAACTTTCCTTCGCATTATAAAATTTTAACTTCATTCGTGTCATTATATGTACTCGCGTAGTTGAAAACATAAAAATGTTGAAGGGAAAATTGTAATTTATGCTCCTTCATTGTTAATTATAAATGTCGTCATTTTTAAATTATTAGTGGTGTAAATATTGTTTCTCAATTTTTAAAATGGTATATATATTATTCATCGCATACCGTACGGGAGGGGTGATATATGTACCGTTTTGAAAAATGAGGGGTAATATTTACACTATGGGAGAGTACTATATGTACCGTTTTGAAAATTGAGAGACAACATTTACACCACTAATAATTCAGGGGTGATATTGATAATTGACATATTATAGAGGGACATAAATTACAATTTTTCCAACATCGAATTATAATCCGCGTCTACTCCGGAATGACGAATTGTTATATGGAGCATGGTTCATACAATGTTATGTGAACCATAAAAAAAAAGTATATTTTTAATAGAGTTAATACCCAAAATAGTCCCTCGACTATGTCGTAATTACCAATTTGGTCCTCGACTATCATTCTTACCCAATTAAGTCCTCAACTATACAATTTTTACCCAATTTAGTCCTTTGTCAATTTGACTGTTTGTTGACTGTCAAAAGTGGAAATAAAGTTGTAATTTTACAAATTTTCTCCTTCCTCCTCATTTAGCAGCGCCAAACCATGTAGCAATAAGCTCCGGTTGGGTTCTAAACCTGTCAGTATCGAAGTAGTGGTTATGCATCGGATAGCCCATGAATTTGATTTCCAACGATTTTTTGACGATCGAAATCTGATCGGAGTGTATTGCTGCATGGTTTGGCGCTGCTAAATGGAGAGGAAGGAGAAATCTTGTAAAATTATAATTTTATCCCGACTTTTGACAGTCAACAAACAGTCAAATTAATACAGAGGACTAAATTGGGTAAGAATTATATAGTTGAGGACTAAATTGGGTAAGAATTGTATAGTTGAGGACTTAATTGAGTAAAAGTTACATAGTTGATGACTTAATTGGGTAAGAATGGTAGTTGAGGACCAAATTGATAATTATGGCATAGTCGAGGGACCATTTTGGGTATTAACTCTTTTTAATATACTAAATGACTAAATGTACATTATTTATATACTGAATATACATTATATAAAATAATGTACTTTTAGCACTCAAATAATGTACTTTCTCTGAATATAAGGTACGTTTTTAATATACTAAAAATACATTATTTGTGTACTAAATATACATTATTTGATATTATACAAAATAATATATTTTCAATACTTAAATAACATACTTTATATATACAAATAATTTATTTTTTATTTATAGTTCACAAAGTTGTGTAGATCATAGTCTACACAATAATAATTGTTCCGAGACAAAATCCCACCGACAATGGGACGGATTGACCGATGTGGACGATTTTAGTTTTAAAATTTTTATATTTAAAAATTACGAAAATGGAGCCCACTAATTTTGTTAGATCTCAGCCATTATTTTAAGGATATTTGTATAAAGGCCCACAGTTCACAGAATTTCATTCAATTTACACCCAAAACTGAAGACTAGAAAGTAGAAATACGGAGGGCGACAATGAGCTCGTCTTCCTCGCTGCGATTTCTCGGCCGTCCCTTGTTGGCGGCTTGTCTTTGTTCTCTTACCATTTTATTGCTGCCGGAACCGGTTGTGTCTGCGTGTAAGAACCCGCCGGTCATTTTCAATTTCGGGGATTCAAACTCCGACACGGGAGGACTCGTCGCCGGACTCGGCATCCCCGTCGTTCTTCCCAATGGCCGGACTTTCTTCGGGAAATCAACTGGCCGCCTCTCCGACGGTCGCCTCGTTATCGACTTTCTCTGTAAGTCGCCCTGTTCAATGTGCTTGCTCCTCACTTTTCTTTTATCCAAGTAATTTACTAATTTTTCTCTTTGTTACATTACATTTGCAAGCAATGCATTACTCATAAAAGTGCATTATTAATCAGCAGTTTGGTCTATCAATTGTTTTCCAAATTGTCAATGTAGTCCTTAATTTTTAAATTCAACCAATTTAATTATCGAATTGTTTAAAATTTCGTCAATTAAATATTTTTAGAGAATAAATTGATGAAATTTAAAAAATGTAGAAAATCATTATTTTGGCCCCTACAATGATTTAATTGATAAAATTTTAAATAATTCGAGTATTAAATTGATTAAAATTGAAAATTATAGATTACATTAACCGTTGAGAAAACAATTAAGAGAACCAAAATGGTGATTAAGTCTTGAAGTTCAAATCGTTTTGCTTGGTTTTAATAACAATCACTATTTATAGATTGCAAACTAAGGGTGTGTTTGGTTAATGACTTTTGTATCTCATTATAGATTTTGATGATATCACTTTTATTTGCTTACTTTTGTTATTCTACTCTTGAATTCAAATCTTTTTGTAATAACAAAACTTATTATTTCTTTTATTTTTTTACTTTTGAATAATAAAAAAAAACAAAAAATAATAATTGTCTATTCATTAAATATGAAAATATATATATATATATATATATATATATATATATATATATATTATTTTGATTCTAATTCCTATTTATTATCAAAATAACTCACTCTATTCAAACTCATCACTATTATAAAGTTCGGAGTATTTATTTTTTATTACTATTTAGATTTCAATATTTAAACTTATTAACCTGCGGCCCGCATGAAACGACAGGTCAAGGATAGGCCTCGACACTAATTAAGTAATTAGCGAAAAATGCTACAATGTACTCTCATTTTGTATTCTCAACTTATATTTCCACACACAATACTTTAATGTAGACATTGTATTAGGATCCACATGAAAAAATAATCTATCAGAATCCATCACATCAGAGAGTAAAATTTAGGAAGTAAGATTAGAGAATATATGTAACAACTCCTAATTAGCTGTTGACTACAATTTTAGGCCTGTCACGTTAGTTTGTATCTCAATTCACAACGTCCCATTATAGTAAACTTGGGTCAAGTTTCTGTTTTTAAATTTTATACCTTTTTCTTTTTTGAGAGAAAAAGTCTTATACCTTTTCTTAATGGCCATAAATGTATGATTAATGTGGTGTTGGATGTTGGAAACAGTGCATGGAAGTAAATTTGGTTTGGTTGTGTGTCTTGTCTATACTTGAATAAAGTGAGTGAGTGGGTGGCTCCATATCAATAGGTCGCACGTCAAATTGCCTTACAGATAATAATGTTTCCAACAAATGGTCCTCTGGAAGACTGGAAACATTATCATCTTCTGAAGAAGGTAATAATAATGTTTCCAGTCTTCCAGTGGACCATTTCTTGGATCACATTCACATATGGATATGACTTCAACTTGCATGTATAGTTAGTCATTAGTTGGATCATCTACTCGTACTACAAGTTGTGGTCCTTAAATATTGGGTGGAGACAAAGGTCAAGTCTAACATCCTGCTTCTTAAAAATATGGTGATTATATTTTCATTGTGATCTGTGAGTTATAACTTTTAACGTAGTGATAAGCGAATGATGCTAACATTAAAATATGGAGTACCCTGTCAGTAAATTAGTAATGGTCAACCTGCCACAAAAGGTAAATTATTGTCCACACAATGTTATGTGAACCATAACAAAAAGTATATTTTTAATATACTAAATGTACATTATTTTTGTACTGTATGTACATTATACAATATAATGTATACTCGGTACAAAAATAATGTACATCCCCTGAATACAATGTACATTATTTTTGTTCTGAATGTACATTATTTACACTATACAAAATATGGTCTATACAACTTGTGTGGACCATAATGATTGGCCACAAAATGTTTGGGCCATGTGGCTCCTCAATCCTTTTTTTAGTTTTCATTTTTTGGATGATGACTAGGCCGGGAAACCTACAATCGTTTCGGGTGTACTTAAACACTGTCTTTTGATCTTAGTTGGAAAATGATCACAAAGAAGCAAATTAGTCTAAATTTCCATAGTTGATCGGCTCAAATTAAGGGAGCAATGATTCGAACTCGTGACTTTATAGTTACAACTGTGGATCTCTTTCCATCTTCGTTTTGGGTTACCTCTTTTCCTCTTTGTTCTCAACACTTGCAAGTAACTGCTAAATCTTGATATTATTGAAAGAGATATCTCTTCTTAAATACTAGCTTTTTTTTGGGGTAATTAATCTGCAACTGTTAATGTGATAACTTGTCCATGCCTGTTGGATTTCATCTATCTCCTAATTTTCTTCTTGGGATCTTGGAATGTTAAAAACTGGAAATAAACATGTGACATAATTTATGCAGGCCAAAGTGTGAACACAAGTTTTCTACGCCCATACCTTGACTCTATGGGATCTACTTTTGTGAATGGAGCAAATTTTG